GACACTACTGAATCGATTTCATGTGAGGATTTTTTTGTACTGGACGAATAATAGATGAGTGTTATTTCTATTTTAATATTAAAATAAAACTTTAGATTGTATTTGCATATAATCGATTTTCTTTTTTTTTTGCTCCCTGTTGTATATAATTCGTTATTTCTAGCTGCTAGCAGCGAAGTAGATTTAAAAATTAAAACGTACGGTTTGCATATCTATGACTTTATTTTATCGTCTATTATTTTTCTAATACTCAATTATTATAATGCTTAGTTATATTTTTGTACAATATGATAACATTGTCAGATTTATTTCATCTGTATAGGTTTTCTTTAGTTTCAACTGTAAAATGTATAGAAATGTGAATACTAAGCACTTTGGTAAACCAAAAATACTTCGTTATTAAAAACAATTTAAACCTTTAATTATTTACGAATATAAAAATATTTACTATAATTTTTTTATTTGTAAATGATTTAAAGTTTAATTTAAAATTAGAATTTAAAATTCACGAAATTTATAAATGGATGATGCTTATGGTATTCAAATTTCCATACCTTTTAGCTAAGAAAATTGTCCTTTAAAGACTTACGCAGTATACACTTTTGTATGTGTAGTTCTTTAAAGAACAAACTAACTTTTAAATAAATGTATTTAAGGAAAATGTAACGTTGTTGTACATTCAAAATTATATTTTCGGAGGTGCTACATATGTTACCATTTTATTATAATATAACTACTATTCTAGACGTATATATGTTACGGCTAAAATCCGAAGTCTGAACTCACCTATCATTACCCGGTTACAAATATGTGTAATGCGGTTTGTCAAACTGCACTTATGCACCTAGCATTCAATTTGTCCGATCGATTTATAAATTATATAAATATGCGCAACTTTCAGCCCAAAAGGCCCAAAAGCCTACACAGCCGTACCTTGACCTTTTGTCGCTAATATTACTTGATATATGCTTTCGTATTTTTGACAAATTTAACAGAAGTCATAGTCATTTTATTATTATTCGGACTTTAGTATTTCCTTTTATTTATTTATTTAACACTTTTTTGTACTAAACCAACTGGAAGGTTGGTGGGAGCTACTATGCATAGTTCCAGCCGACAGCATCTGACCACACCTAATATTAACCATGAATAAATCGTATACACTTATTTTTAACCAACCAAAACCAGTAGCATTGAATTTTAGTCAGCTAAACCTGTGTAACCGCACTTCTACTTTAAGCCGTGACATATATAAATACTCATTTAGACTTTAAAGTATATATTTTTTAATTCTATGTAGAGTCAACTCTTATAGGTACGTTATATATAATATAATATATTATTTATAAGATCATCAGTTGTACTCGTATGAAACTTAAATGAGAGTAATACCTAATAAAAAGTGCAGACAATGTTAAATCAAAACTTATAGGTCAAAAATATAACGATATTAAATATATTCAAAATATTTAAATCTCTCTTACAAAACATGTTAAATAGCCCCAGAATCAATATTGATAATTAAGTTGAAATGTATAACATGACTTTTTTAAGAGTAAGTATAAACACATTTTCTCCCTGACTTTTTGTTACATCATACATTACAAAAGATACAAAAAAATGTAAATATGTTGACCGATCTAGTTCTAGACTAGAAAAACATCAACATCCTCTTCATATATTGTAGGGTGTTGGTTAACGAGTAACCTATATTAAGAAAAATGAATAAAGTATACAATTATTTGTAAAAATATGGTAATTTTATTTAACATTAATTATTTATTTACATAACATTGACATATACACAACATCAAAAAACTATAATAAAATAACTAATTTTTTTTAGTTTGCTGTATATTCTCACTAAATGGCTATACTTGAACGAGAAAATAATCAGCCCTCTTATCACCAGCAGTGACGAACAGTCGCGGATACAGTTCCTTTAGAAACTTCACTGCACGTGGACCCCACGGACAGATAGTTTCTATTACAAATAGCACAAATATGTAGTTATCTCACAGAGACTTATATTTGCGCCACATACTTAGTTCAGCTGCCTCTGATGCCGCCCCTGCTCTAGACAAGGTACCCCTGAGGTGAGAGGCTGCTAAAGTGTTTACGCAAGTAGCATTCCACAGAATTTAACTCTCTCCCACAGGACCAAGGTCACACCGTCGGGTCTCATGCCATCGTCTCTAAATATTCTACAAGGCTCTAAAACAGACGGAACATTTATAGAGACAAGAGCTCTTGGGACGTTCACAGAACCGTGGCGCTAAAACCTACCAGCAGCACTTTTCTTACAAGAAAGCCCGTGGAGCTCAAGCTCGTCGATGCTGCTACCACAGGGACACTGATGAGGTTGACAAATCACCGCTCCTAGTCAGATTCCTACGACTGTGCGCAAGCTTTCACCATCAAGCAATGTGCCGAGATTACTTGACGGTAAAATGTGTAACCATTGACGATTCCTTGACAACACAGCTAGAAGGCTGTCCTGATCTTGGTTATCATGGAAAATATGAAATAAATCTTTCACTCCGTACCAATGGTTAAATTCCAGTGGAATAATTTCGCAGTTATAGAGCGTTTGCCATGTCTGTCATGCCTCCACAGCAAAACACAGGTCTATTTTATTATTTAAAATTATGTTATATAGGTCACGGACACTATACACGAAAGCAAGGAAAGCAGACAATGCAACGCTAGAAAGATTTCTTACACCGATACCGCCGCTTGAGTCCAGGCTGTTGTTGCTGTTGCATTTAAAGTTAAATTTAGAATTTTGTCAATAGCGATTTTAAGATTATCATTATCCATTTCTTTTAAAATATCCGAACATTTCCAGACTGGACTCGAGCGGAGTATGTAAATCTAGTTACAAGAAGACAATATTTTAAAATAGTAAGAGCAATGCATAAGATATACAATTTATCAACGGTGTTGAAAAACTGATAGTAAATAATACCGCCTGACATTTTTACCATTGGGGAAAAATAGGGTAATATAAGTGAACGTAGTGGAAGCCTATAGCGTAGATATTTATCCAATATTTTGTTTACATATGAAAACGATGTACCATATGCACTACTAATTTGAAGTAAACATTCAGCTTCTAAGTACATGGTAGGTTCATGGATCTCTTATAGTATAAAACAAGGTTGTTTCCCGCCGTCTGTATGCTTAGATCTTTTAAACTTCGCAACAGATTGATGCGGTCTTCATCAATAGACAGAATGATACAAGAGGAACGTTTATATGTGTAATACATGCATATTATATGATTCTTCTGTCCGTGTGTATGTGACTGAACTCCCTCTAAACGGCTGGACCGATTTTGATGAAATTTTGTGTGTGTGTGTGTGATTAAGTTGATTCGATAATGGTTTAAATTCATTATTTGACCCGGTAAGTGGCGCTGTTATCGAGATCCAGAAATCACCCGTGCAAAGCCAGGGCTGATCGCTAGTTAATTAATAATTGCCATGAGAAGGATGCTAATAGTTTAAATTTTGATATTTTAATATCTTTATTATTTTTTTCAAAATTAAAAAGTTTATTTACTCTTCGCTAATCTTCTTCATATTGTCTTCTTCCCGTTGGCAAAAAAGTCAACCGGTCAATGTAGCACAATGAAACTGTCATGAACATCTTCATTGTTTTTGCTATGAATAATTGTCAGGCACTTTCGTAGATCGTAGTCTATAATATGTATTGTATTAACTTCAGTCTTAGCTCAGGAGGTAAATATTCGCTCTTAAAGTTCAATCCATGCCGACACCAAAGAAATTGTTAATAGCAATTTTAATTTGGAGGAATATCAAGTAACTTACATGTCTGACTAACACGCACTCGTCATTGATATCTTTCATTTTACAGCCCTTTACAAGTCCACTACTGAACATAGGCCTTCCCTCAAGGGATGTCACAAAGCCCGGTCTTGAACCACCTGTATCCCATAGACTTTCTCCATGTCTTACCAGGTCGTCACTCCATCTAGTGGGAAGCCGCCCTACACTTCGTCTACCGGTACGAGGCTGCCACTCGAGAATGACCGGCGCATTACCACTTCAGCTTACTAACCCGTTGTGTTATGTCGGTTACTCTGGTTCTACTGATCATATTCTTATTTTAAGTCTATCACGCAAGAGAAACCCCGATCATAGCCCTTTCCATAGCTCGCTGAGCGACCTTGAACTTCCTCATATGGCTGACGGTGAAGGACCACGTCTCAGATCATAAATCATAACGGGCAATACACCCTGGTTGTACCTGGCAATATACCCTGTGTGAGAGCGTGGTTTTACCCTGGTTGAGCCGACCCATTCGTGCTACAACTATACTACTAATATAGCTGCAGCATGGCTCTACCACGTAAGAAACGCCCTTTTACGACCTCTTACGCCTCTTACGATACCTACGGGATGATATGGAATAAAATTAAATAATTTTTTTTCAATACAGTCACATGTATGTAATTCTTAATGGAAGTAATTTTTACTTTACTACTGGTGCGAAAAAAAACTCTGTCCTGGGAAAAACCAGCAAAAACCCAGCGGGACTCTTTTTTAAAGAACATTTTACATGAAAGTACAAACTATTTAAAATGGAGTACACGGCAGTGTAACCAACTGTTACTAACTGTTAACCAACCAACTGGCTCATGATTTAAAGTAACTTTCCGACTTAAATTTAAATTTAGATAAGTCACTTAACGTTACGTTTTCGTATAATGAATGTTGTTATTTAATCTAATAAACATAATTCGAAACTGCGTTGCTCACGTACTGTAAGATTAACGGCTATCATTTAGCCCCTGAGCTACTACGTTGTATGGTACACCTAGTGTTATAGGACAAAGTAGATGAAATGAAGCATTGATATAGTTTAGAGAGAACATCCCTTTAGCTGTATTGTTTACACGTTAACAGTAACTACAATTACTAATATAATTAAATTTTAAAATATATGCTTAAATAGTTTTACTGTTATCATAAATATTAGTTCACTATATAATCTTCGGCGTTGATCCACCTTTTGATCAAGTATTTGACATTTTTTCTGGCTTCCTTTAGTTCTTCGTGGTCGTTTTCACGATTTGAAAACAAATCTCGGCAATGAGACGCACGCGGAATTACTATCGCTTGTGCGTCATACGATATGTCTTCTAAAATACTAAGTCGACTCCATGGATCCAGATCTCCATTTACAAAGACTACCTTACTTACGTTGGGTTGTAATCCACCATACATTTTATTTACATCTTCAATTCCGTCGTCAATTCTCGTATCATTAAATTCAGAACCAAAGGCTTTAGTACACAATTTCACGTAAAAATCAACTGGTATGTTGCGGGTAAAGGGTTGTTTATTGGAAGATGTACTTTGAAAGTAGCCATATTCGGTACAAGTTTGATAAGTCCAACAAACTATCCCGTTTATTTTGTTTTTGTAATTATCATTGATCATGTTATTAAAATCAAAATCATTACACTCGCTTCTTTTAATCCAAAAACTTGGTTCATCAAACAATAAATATTTTTTTGTTTCGTTAACGTTCGCACAGTGATCTTTTATTATTTTGGTATTGCCGTATTGTGCATTTGACATAAATGCAGTAGCTTTTTCAAGGAAGAATAGTTGTTTATTTTCTGGTATGCTCATATCATTCTCAGGGCAAATATTTTCTTCTTCTTTAAGTTTTTTGATACCTTCTTGTGTCTCAAACATAGTTTCGTATCTTGTGAAATGTTTATTTATCGTGTTAACGCAGTCACGCGTTCCATATTGTTCGTAATCAACGTTTACTCTTTCAAGGTATTCATAGAAATCCTTTTTTGCTAAAACAGGAGCACTACTCGCTATTGCTGCATCAACCAATTCAGGATATAATAATCTCATCCATGCTGCCAGGTTTCCTGCGTAAGAACCACCAACCACAACAATTTTTGAATTAGAAAAAAATGGTTTTGATTTAATTAATCGTAATAGATGAGCATTATCAGCAAGAGCTTGCTTTGCACTCAAATATTTAAAATTATCAACAGTTGTCTTATTAACGGGTATACTTTTCCCATAGTATCTATGTTCTGAAGCATACATTGCACCATTAGTTTCTTTTGCTAATTCATACATTATACCAGTATATAAGAAATTGGGAGATGCTTCAGATTCCCCACCAAGAAATAAAAATATCGGACCATTAAGTTTCCAAAAGTCAAGTCTTTTGAAGTATCGCATTTTCCAAGTACGATTTTCATTTCCATCGAAATGATCAAGTTTTTGCTCCATCCAACGCGTTTCATGTTTTGGAGTACTTCCTATTGATACAGATGAAGCAAATTCTTTTATTAAATATTGAAAGCCACCAATATAACCTACAAAACAATAAACTGGACTCGTAAAAATCAATAGTTTTACAACAATTTTTAAAAACATTTTGAATATACAGTGTCACGAACAGTCCTAGTTTAAATTCATAGCATGCACTGGGCTAAATACAACGGTAAATTACCTTTATTTCGAAATAGGAATTTATGTTAAATTCTAACCTGATAGAATTTTATCGTGTATTTAAAATAATGGTGGCGAAATAATACCAGTGTTACAATAATTTATCTATCGCTCTCTGCTAGTTAAAATTGTTGACAGTTTAAACAATGTGGGAAAGTAAGAGCAAATTAAACATTAAACAAAATACCGTGTTGTTAGATAATTAGGTACCTCATGGCTGTCGCAATAGTTTACTTGAAGAGAAACGCCAACTAGATTTTGATGTCTTCCGGTAGATGACGTAACAACCATCTCATTATGTAAAGGTGGCAGGCTAAACGAATCCCTATTCTAGGCACAATCATGCAGTAAACGGTATTAAACTGGTACTGCAATTGATTATACTTACCACTCATTGTGAATGTGGTCATTAACCTTCCAACTTCCAACCTGCCGTCGGGATCCAACTCAGGATATCTGCGAATGCAATATGAAAATAAATATATACGTATATGTAATAACTAGCTGTTGCCCGTGACTTCGTCCGCGTGGTTATAAATATATGAAGTATATACTATGAAGTATAATGATGTTTAACGCAATCTATTTTTATATTTCACTCAACAGAAAATGCCTATCACACTAAGCAACTTTTTTTTAAGGCACCAATTAGAAAAAAATAGATATTGTTATTTTTGTAAAACTCTCTATACACTCAGTTTTATTTTCAGGCTGCAGTATATACAACTGACCGTGATAGAAGCAATAGTTTATTAAATCTATGCCAGCTACTTTTAACGTTTTTCCCTGGACCTTGTAAATAGTTATAGCATATCACAATTTCACCGGAAATTGGAGGCTTGCCTTTGAATCTTGTCATAAATGAACACGCATATTAATTCTTAAAGAGATTATTTTAACCTTAGGTCATAAAAATAAAGATTTTAAGCATGCTTAGACTTCGTCTTCACGTATCCCGCGTGGTATAACAGGCAATATTTGTATGAAGTCCCCGGCTAATAAAACTGTAATTTCACCCATAAGTCATTGCCATTCCTTATTTCCTGAAGTGTTCCATCTAGAGCCTCTACACCTTTTTATGGGCCATCGTAAACTCATCCCAAACTACTAATTTTGCTTTTTGTAGCACTTCTGCGAAGTCACTTTGTTTTAGTATATTGCACATTGTAATTTCGGAGTGATTAAGATTTAAGGGCAACTTAAATCCAGAGTGTACCGTTTTACTTCCATCAATGAAAGTTGCGGTGATACCTGAAGAAGCGATTGCAATTGCAATATTCCAGCCACCTCTTGCTTCATCATTATTATCGTCATTACAGCTCTTCACAAGTCCACTGTTGAACATAGGCCTCCCCCAAGGAATGCCACAAAGCACGGTCCTGGGCCACCTGCATCCATCGACTTCCTGCATGTCTTATCAGGTCGTCACTCCATCTATTGGGGGGATGCCCTACACTTCGTCCGCCGGTACGAGGCCGCTACTCGAGAAACTTTTTTCCTTATCGGTTGTCGGTTCTCGAGCTATATGGCCGGCCCATTGCCACTTCAGCTTACTAATCCGGTGGATTATGTTGGTCACTCTGGTTCTACTGCGGATATCCTCATTTCTAAGTTTGTCGGCCGAGTCCTCTCCATAGCTCGCTGAATGACCTTGAGCTTCCTCTTCCGGCCAGCAGTGAAGGACCACGTCTCAGCTCCATACGTCATCACTGGCAACACGCACTGTTTGTACAGTCTCGTTCTCTTCAAGTTTTGAGGTATACCTTACGAGAAGGTGTACCGTAATTTCCCGAACGCTGCCCAGCCGAGTTGAATCCGTCGATTGACCTCTCGGTCGAAGTTGGACTTACCTATAGTCTTCGCGTTATAGCATGGTTCGGGTGACAGCTTACACTTTTGGCGTGTCTATAGATGGAACATTGTTAAATCGATTTAAAAAAGGCAATTAAAGATACACAAACCAAAGTAAAAATTATCGATTTATTTATAAACTATAATTCATTTAAAATTAAGTTAAAGTTTAATACAAATTATGACATAATAGTTACATAAAAGCTGTTCCCGGACCTCGCCCACTTGGTATTTATGACGATTGGATTTCATGGGTTTTAATTATCTGCGCGGAATCCTAATTTGTTTCTAAAATAAAATTAGCCTGTGTTACTCCTTACGAGTATAACATCAGCTATCTGTCAGTTCCAGCTATAAGCCGGAACAATGAGACAGTAAGACAAACATTTTAAAAATTGTTTTTGTATTTTTGTTATAAGTGTCGTACATACTTTAATATGTATTTAATAAAAGGCTCGTATTTTGATATTACAAACAGACATTTTAATGTATAGATTATACTATGTATTAATTTGAAAATAAAAATCATCTTCATTTCATGTTGATTGCAACATTTATATTGACATTCAAACAAATAAAATGGCTGCCAGCATCTGTAATTTTCAGTACGGTGTAGGTGTGGTTTAACGGTGGTAGAGCCCCGCAGCAGTTTTTTGCTGTTGCACGTATGGGCAGGCTCGAGCCGGGTTGGTACCACGACCTCACAGAATACCGGCGTGAAGTGGAGGCTATGCTTCTGCGTTTCGTCTGGTGAGTGCAGGTGGCCGGAGGCCCAATTCCCCCCCCCCCCCCATCAACATGAAAGCGGAATTACAAAGTAGACTACCCCAGGAGGGTACCAGTACCCCTGGAGAATCCCTCGCTGAGCATCCACGACCATGTTATTCCAATCCTGAGCGTGGGTGCTCAGGCTGCCCCGCGTATTCTGGGGGGGGCAAAATTCCGCTCAAAAACAAAACTGCTTGGGGCAAACTGAGCAACAATACCAAGGCGACCCCTGCCACGCTATCCGTGAATTTCTGCAACATCAGGGGACTTCACTCTAACCTAAACGCCGTCCACTACCATCTCGAGACGGCGAGGCCGGCCTTGCTCTTTCTGACCGAGACGCAGGTTTCCTCTCCGGCTGATATTTCGTATCTCTCCTGCCCGGGGTACAAATTGGAGCACTCCTTTGTGCCTCGGGCTGGAGTTTGCGTGTATGTCAGAGAGGACATCTGTTCTCGACGCCTCGGCTGTCTTGAAGGTTCGGACCTGTCCATCCTTTGGCTACGCGTAGACAGCGACGACCATCCGCGCGTCTACGGGTGCCTCTATAGGTCCCATAGCGGTAATGCCGAAACAGACCGACTCATCGACCACGTCCAAATGGCTACAGATTCCTTGCTACAACAGGTCCCATCCGCAGAGATCGTGATCCTTGGCGATTTTAACGCCCACCATGCCGAATGGCTCGGTTCACGTTTAACCGATCATGCGGGGAGATCTGTTTATGACTTTGCTTTGGCATATGGTCTGACACAACTGGTTACTTCGCCTACGCGGATTCCAGATGTGGAGGATCATACACCTTCCCTGTTGGACCTTCTGCTGACCTCTCAACCGGACAGATATCAGGTTTCCGTCGATGCCCCTCTCGGCTCTTCGGACCATTGTCTGATCCGGAGTATGGTGCCACTCACGCTCCCTTCGCGGTTGCGTTCTGCAGGTTGCCGCCGTGTTTGGCATTACAGGTCGGCGGATTGGGACGGAATGCGGTCTTTCTTTGCATCCTACCCATGGGGGCGGGTTTGCTTCTCGCCGGATGATCCCAGCGCTGTTGCTGACTCTGTCACTGATGTGGTGCTACAGGGAATGGAACTATTTATTCCATCATCTGTGGTACCCATCGGAGGCAGGTCTCAGCCTTGGTTTGGTCGCTCCTGTAAGACTGCATTGCGCAGAAAGCAGGAGTGTTATCAAGCCTGGGCTGCGGCTTCGGTGACTCGGGATGTAAATACCAGCACACTTAAAAAGAAGTATAACTTCGCCTCCAGGTCCTTCAAAAGAGTTATTGCCAAGGCAAAGTCAGAGCACATAGGCAGAATTGGCGAGAAACTAGTTCGCCTTCCTTCGGGAACCCGTGCATTCTGGTCTCTCGCCAAGGCTGTCCAAGGGAATTTCTGTAAGCCATCACTACCATCTCTGCACAGGGAGGACGACTCACTGGCCCACGACGCAAAAGAGAAGGCCGACCTTTTAGGCTCCCTTTTTGCGTCCAACTCGACTGTTGATGACGGGGGGATCACACCGCCGACCATCCCGCGGTGTGAGTGCTCTATGCCGGATGTGCTATTCTCACAGCACTCGGTTCGCAGAGCACTCCTCTCCCTTGACATCCACAAGTCGAGTGGGCCTGACGGAATCCCCCCAATTGTGCTGAGGACGTGTGCTCCGGAGTTGGCACCGGTTCTAACGCGTCTTTTCCGGTACTCCTACTCCCATGGCGTTGTCCCGAACTCATGGAAGACAGCTTTTGTCCACCCTATCCCTAAAAAAGGCGACCGCTCAGACCCGTCCAACTATAGGCCTATCGCGATCACCTCCTTGTTCTCCAAAATAATGGAATCCATTATTAACTGCCAGCTCATCCGGTACCTTGAGGATCACCAGCTGATCAGTGACCGCCAATACGGTTTTCGTCGGGGTCGATCAGCTGGTGATCTTCTAGTCTACCTGACCCATAGATGGGCGGAGGCAGTAGAGTCCAAGGGGGAGGCGTTGGCCGTTAGTCTGGACATTGCGAAGGCCTTCGATCGGGTTTGGCACAAAGCGCTTCTTTCGAAGCTCCCTTCCTATGGGCTTCCCGAGAAATTGTGCAATTGGATCACCAGCTTCCTTGCAGATCGGAGCATCAAGGTCGTTGTAGACGGTGCATGTTCTGACTACAAGCCTATTAACGCTGGTGTTCCACAAGGCTGTGTGCTATCACCAACGCTGTTTCTTCTGCATATCAATGATATGTTGCTAACTGGTAACATTCATTGCTATGCGGATGACAGCACTGGTGATGCTCTATACACCGGCCGGGCCAA